AGCGGTTCTGCGTGGCTCTTTCCTGCTCTCTCTTCCTCTCCTCCGGGAGGACATGGCCCGTGGATTTCAGTTGGAGTTGGTTTAACGCATGCCGCCTTTGCTTTTTAAATGATTCTCTAACATATAGAATGGGCAGGGGGCTGGACTCGACCTCCTGAGGTCTCTTCCTGCCCTAGGATTCTAGGATTTTATGAGAGAGGATGCCAGCAGCATTAACAAGAGAAAAGTAAAACATGCCCTACAGAGTGCTAGCGTGTGGGCCCCATGTGGAGTACCGTATTTTAGAGAATATAACCTGTGGGTTATAATCGTTTTTACAAACCCTGGTTCCCCCCTCCCCCGCGGGCTATACTCGTGCGTGGGGTATACAGGGTTTTTTTACTGAAAGGAAGACAATGCTGACGCTTCCTTGAAGAAAGCAGCATATTTTAATTTAATAATAGAGACCGTTGCATCATCAGCTGCGGCTCATTAACAGGTGATTACAGGTGCTTTGTACTACCGTTATGCACAGAGTCTCTCCTGCGGGCTATACTCGTGCGTGGCATATACAGGGGTTTTTTTTAATCAAATAGCAAAAATTGCGGGGTATATTTGGGTGCGGGGTATATTTGGGTGCGGGGTGTATTCGCTAAAATATGAAATGGATGCAGCCAAATGGATTGAGGGTCCCTGAGCTAGACTGTGACCATGCAGAATAGGGGGGTGCCACTCAGTTCTAAGGAAGGGTACTAGCGGCGCGGAGAAAGGGTGAGCAGAGCACAGAGGCTGCAGGCATGGAAGGGCCCTGTCCTTAGGGTGTGTGAGGCAGATGTTCCTGAGAGGAAGCTGATGGGAGCAGCTGCCATGTCCTAATTTACCTCACGCAGGCTCTAGCTGGCTACTGAACAGGGCCCAAGCATGAGTGAGACTGCAATGGATGCCTAGGGAAACACTGGGGGTGAGGTGGGGTCGACGTGAATCCTCCAACAGAGAAGACTGAAAGGAAGGGACCCCTGCTGCGTCCCCTAGGCCTTTTCCTCCTTCACTCGGCTAGGACCTTTCTCTGGAGGAGGACGCCATCTTGGAAAGAGCGGACTATGGTGCCGGAATGCCTGTTCACCTCCCTCACCTGCGTGCCCCAGCAGCGGAAGCACACCCGGCAAAACCGCATCACCCGTTCGCCGGTTCTCACCTGATAGAGCAACGTATCCAACATGCTGATGCTGAACACTCGGCCGGCCGCAAACGGGAGCCGGAACATGAACGCCAGGTTGGAGCCGTTCTCTCGCTCTTTCTACGGGCAGAGGAACACCGTGGGATGGGCTGTACCGGGGTGTTCACCACGTGTACAAGCCCCGGGTGTTTTTTTGTCAGGGAAAAGATCATTTAAGAACTCAGTCTGCTGCCCGCTGCTGTTCTGGTCAAACGAGGGCCAAGAGCCCCTGAAAACCAAGAGGACCTGCTTGCTTGGAGCTCGGCGTAACAAACCAAACAACTCCAACCCATGGGGATACCAGCAAAGGCTCCTCCTTCTTGTAATTAACGTCTTTAGTAGAAAGACGGCTGACGTTTTCTCATCAATTCACTTTTTGGATGAAAAATGGCACTTAGATCAAAGTGAACATTGTTCTTCAACGTACGTATTCTCTCCCCCCCCTCAAAAAAAAACCACAAAGTGACTCTTGGGAAATGGTTGATACAAGTTCTTGGAAAAAAGTTGAAACGTGCAGTTTCCAAAAGTCCTGCTTTCACCCAACCCCGGTTTTTGAAAACCACGGTGGTTTCGAAGGGAGGAGGCGGGGGAGGGGAGGGTCTGGGCACTGCCACTTTTACAGTCGTGGTGGTTGGGAAAAGCGTTGCTCTTTTTTCTTCCCCGCCCCCAACTTATTGGTGGGCCTGTCTTGGGTGCTCCTGCAGCCACGTCTAGGCTACGTCTACACTGGCACCCTTTTCCGGAAATGCTTAAAACGGAACAGTTTTCCGTTATAAGTATTTCCGGAAAAAGCGCGTCTACATTGGCAGGATGCTTTTCTGGAAAAGCGCTTTTTCCAGAAAAGCGTCCATGGCCAATGTAGACGCGCTTTTCTGGAAAAAAGCCCCGATCGTCATTTTCGCGATCGGGGCTTTTTTGCGGAAAAGACTACTGTGCTGTCGACACTGGCCCTTTTCCGGAACAGTTTTTCCGGAAAAGGACTTTTGCCCGAACGGGAGCAGCATAGTTTTTCCGGAAAAACACTGACAATTTTACAGTAGATCGTCTTTGCTTTTCCAGAAAAGCAAGCGGCCAGTGTAGACAGCTGGCAAGTTTTTCTGGAAAAGCGGCTGCTTTTCCGGAATAAGTGGCCCAGTGTAGACACAGCCCTAGTGTGGCTGGTACAGGGTGAACCTCTTTAGTTCGGCACTCTCTGGTCCGGCAACATCCGTGGTCCGGCATGATGTTAGTTACCCGGATGTCCACTGATCATGGGTGTGGCCAAGTTTCCCGCGGTCCCATAAAGTTTGTTTACAGTCACCAGTCCTGGCTTGCAGTGTTCTGGGCTGGTATTTAGCTCTAATTGCCCCTCGCAATGAGAAGAGCCCAGCAAGCAGTGGAAAGGTTGGTCATGCTGCTAGACAATGTCGACCTTCCATAGTTTGGCACATTCTCTGGTTTGACCCCAGTCAGGTCCTGACAGCGCCGGACTAGAGAGGTTCAACCGATAGCAAATCTATGAGCACCGCTTCACTGGTCAGCTCCTGCCTGGGTCATCGTCCCAGCATGGAACACATGGGTTTGGGTTCTGTGTGCGAGTTAGTCTCCTCTCCATGCCCAAGGAAACTTGGGGTGCCACAGAGGGGTGGGAGAAAGATTTTCCCCTTAAGCAACACAGGTTTGCAATCTGTACCAATGCAGGCCCCAGACTTGCTTTTCTAGCTCCAGCGCATTCAGCATCTCAGATCACGTTTCCCTTCCAAGGCACCAGGTGCTGTGTATTCTAACACAACAGCCAACACACACACACACCCGGCTGGATACCGCAGTAGAGACAAGGGCCTAGTCTTGGCATTGGCAGACGTGGCTAGCCTGAAACTGTCTTAACTTAATAATTACCTTTTAGTCCCTGGGTGGCAAATTCTAGTCTTGGGTGACAAATTTCTCCCTCGCAACCCAGGGGCCATTCAGATAATAATTAACACCAAACCTCAGATCTTAGGATACTCCTGGATCCCCTGGCAACAGGGCTCTGAGCGCGGCTCAGAATGAATCTGCGCCGCTATCGAACCTCAGCTGTCCTCCCAGGATCAAAGAGGGAACTCTGCAGGGAGAGGGTAACGGGGGCCAGGCGAGGCCATGGATGGGAATGAATCGAGCATCTCATTTCATCCCAGGGAACGCTGGGGATCAAAGCGCTCATGTACTTAAGAGCTTCCCGGAGAGACCTCGATGACCCTGTAGCCTGGGGCTGCCTGCCTGCCATGAAACTAATAGAAGGGCCTTTATCTCCAGTTGTCATTTTAAAAGACGAGTCAGCGTAAGTTCCTGACACTTCTTAGTTGCACTGCTGGGATGTTGCTAGACCCCAGCGGCCCACGGAGACAGAGTAAGAGATTGTGTCAGCCTCGAAGAACTTACAGTCTAATCCGGGGGGTTCAAACTCTGGTCGCGGCTTGTAAGGCCAAGCCGGGCTGCATGATACTTTGTTCACCTACGCCCCCGCAGGTAGGGGTGATCACAGCTCACGTTGGCCACAGATCGCTGTTCCCGGCCAATGGCAGCTGCGGGAAGTGATGTCCCAGTCCCAGCTGCTCCCATTGGCTGGGAACGGCGATCCGCGGCCAACAGGAGCTGCAGTCGCCTGTACCAGCGGGGACGCAGGTAAACAAAGCGTCTTGTGGCCAGCTAGCGACTTGCCCTTACAAGCCACAACTCAGAGTTTGGAAACCCCTGGTCTAAAAGACAATAGAGAGCTGGGAAACCGAGGCACAGGAAGGCTAAGTGACTTGATTAAGATCACATGGAGCACTTGCAATAGATCGGGACGTGAATGCTGGTCTCTAGCATCCTAGCCACAAGAATATCCTCCTTCTCGGCATGGTATATTTCCTATCAACCCACTTGTCCCACCCTCTCTGATCCCCATGCCTTATTGATAATGCAGTGTTCCTTTGCGGAGTGTCTGCAGAGCTGGAAATTATCTACAGATTTGACACCATTACCCTGGGCTTAAACAAAGGCATTAACTGATTGGTGCATTACAAAGGCAATTTTTCCTGCCTTTAATATCCGCATTTCCACATCCAAAGCTATGAATGGGAGACATCCAGTCCACTTAATTAGCCTCATTAACACGGGTCCTACAATTGGCAGGTACCTCTTCTGCTGTTCTATATAGCTCTTGGTTTCTGTTCTTTCCACTCCAACCCATCTGAGGAAGTGGGTTTTGCCCACAAAAGCTCACAATTCTCTAAATGTTGGTTAGTTTCTAAGGTGCCACAGCACCACTTGTTTTTCAAGTCATAGACTAACACGGCTCCTGCTCTGAGATTCATTTGCAGCGAGTTAGGTCTCTTCTCTGACAAGGTATCTGCCCACGAGGCACTGGACGGGTGTTCTATCAGCCACAAGGCAGCAGGCCAGCTTATGTACAACAGATCTTTACGAACAGAGACAGAGACTGCCCTCAGACAATGGCCATGATGAGGAAGTTAGGATGAGTTCATGGTGGCTTTGATTCTCTCTGAATTGGTTCAACCATCCTTACTATACACCGCCACACAGGCGGTACCAGAGATGCAAGTGTGTGTGAGCTCTCCTGGTTTTGAGTGGCACGTACCAGCCGAACCCGTGACAAACTCATATTTCTTTCCTTTGTTACAGCCGTCTGAAGAGGCCCAGCCCGTATCTCATCCCCTCGCCCGGGCTGGTTCTGCGGATGTTTCCCCTCCCCATCCGCTGTTATTTCTACCCCCACAAAAATGCCTCAGCAGCATGCAATGGGAACACCGCCTGCGATAGGATACAGCCTTCCATTCTCGCAGAATTGTGTAATCCACCGCTGAGGCGGGGGCCGTGTATTGAGTAACTACAGCCAGGCAGCGCTTAAGAAAACACGACGAGCCCAAAGGTCAATTGCCTGTCTCGAATTATCCCGGAGGGATGTTCATGAACCATGGTGCCTGCAGCACGCAGCAGGAGGGCGCAAGGCTGTGACGGTCTGTGAGTTAATTACCCGTTGCAGGACCCTTTCATCGAACACAGGCATGCAGGGAAAACGCGTCAGGTGGGCGGTTCGCGCACCCGGCCAGGAGGGAAAGCAGAGCCCTCCCGTGTGCCAAGGGGCGTCCTTACCTTTTCCAGTTTGGAGAGGGCCAAGGAATAACTGTCCTTGGCTCTGAACTGCATGAACCTCATGTTGGACGGGTGGGTCAGCTCGGTGATGATGCTGAGGCTTGGGAACAGCCTGGAAGGGAAGGCAGACCCGTCACTGTCCGGTGGCCGTGCTCCCCGGCGGGAGGGAACGTTCAGCTTCGCAATAGGGCCCAGTGCAGAACACGGCCTTGGGCCCATAGTTCCCGCTAAGGGGCGCGCCTGCGCGGCCGTGCACAGAAAATTCTTCCCCTGCCCACCTCCTTTGGAGAGCTGCACAGCAGCACGGCCAGGGCAGGCGGCTGCTCCGGCGGGCGGGGCCAGCTGCGAC